AAGAGACCTGTGGGTTGAGATAAGAACAATACTGCTACTAATAATATATACACACATATATATTCATATATATATGTATAATGATAATAATATATTCAAACAAGAGATGCACAGTGTAATTGCTCACCACCTGGTGACTAAGGCCTGTCCTGTCCTGACACCGCAATCCTGGATGAGCGAGAGGCCCAAAAAGAGAATGAGAGAGAAAGAGAGAGAGAACACTCCGAGAGTGTGAGCCCCCGGAAGAGCAAAAGCCCTTCTTTCCGGTCAGCCCTCATCTCTATACTGGGCATGACGTTGCACGATATAGAATACTTCATTGACCAATTTATCCCTCAATCCTAAGTCTAAGTTCAAATCATAAGGGGGGTTGTGGCCCCTTTGTCCCGGCCATGCTACCTCCCAGCCTGTTGTGCTCCTGCACACTGGCAACAACATGAGAAGCTGAAAAGTCCTTGATGTCTCAGTGCCCACTATAAACATCAGTGTGCTATCAACATTCTTCTCATAGTGAATCCCAGACTAAAACCAAAACAGAGCTCTTCTAGCTGCTAAAAAGAACTAACTCTGTCCCAGCTGAAACCAGGACACTTTCTAATAGCAGCAGAGCTGTATTTCTTTCCTGGAGAGAGGTGCAGAACAGGGGTGATAAGAAATCACAGTGCTGACCTGGATCTTCCACCTTGATAGCCTTTAGCAGGGGTTAGTAAGGGAGATTGGGGAGGGGAGGAGGGTGTTAAAAATAGTGGGGTAACAGAACAATATAACTTGTTTCTTTTTATGCTGCTGTTTTAACAACATTCTGATGTCATCTTTTTAGTGCAAGCTGGAGAAGGAAACAAACCAAACTCAGCCCAGCTGGAACTGAGAATGGTCCAAAGCAAAAAGGACATAGAAAACCCAGAGATCATAGTGAAAGCCACTGTGTTATAAAGGCTGTACGTCTCCAATAACGCACAATGTATTGCTGTCCTCATTTCCTTCCTGTAAATTGTAATATTTGCCTTAGATCTGTGACAGAAACCTGACTTTCATGAAATAGCGCCCAGCATAGGCAGATATCCACTCTCAAACATGTGTGCTGGCCTTGCTCAGTTTTAAAAACGAAACAGTTAGTGTGCATTGAAGCCTATTACCAGGTATCAAAATGGCTGTCAAATTCACCCAGTCTGTGCAATTACCCAGGGCAAGAGAGTACAATGTTCCTGCCTTGCTTTAAGACTTTAAATGTGAATTTGCTAATGGAAAGCTTGACTGACTGGAAAATGTATTTCAAGATGGCATCTAGTGCCAATGGAGCTGGCTCCATGCTCCCTTTTCCTGGAGATATCTGATTACCTACTCTGGTATTCAATATCTCAGCTGCTATGAAACTAAGCAGGGTTAAAACTACACACAAAGTTCTGGTTGTGTGTAGGAATGCTTTGAAGATGTTTGGCATTTAAGTACTCTGAAGTGACCTTGAGGTGTCATTCATGTTACTGATAACTGCTTCTGTCTCTTGTCTATGAATAGCTGCACAGTTTCAGTTTTTGCAGGTACTGGCTGCTTACTTCTAATGTCTGTGGGTGCCCACATGATTTTCTTCCAAAAGCTGCTCCAGAAACATCTTCATTAATAATATAGTATCTTTATTCAGTAGTAGAAGTCTTTCTGAATAAAGAAAAAAATCTTTATTCAACACTGAGTCGAAGTCTGTAGTTCTAGCTCCAAGGCCAGGTTTGATTCTTTGTTTAGTTTTTAACTAAGGACAAACATTCTGTAAGAACAGAAGAGAAAGCAGCTCTTACCCTGAAACCTGGCTACCCTAGTTTGTTCTTCATAGGTGGATGTATTTAGAAACTACAGAGGGTACTTCCACTTAACAGTAGTGAGCGCTCTTGGCAGGCTTATCAATGAAGCAATGCGGTAAAGGAAGTATTTTTGGTTTAGTAAGTTACATATGCTTACCAAATGCAGTGAAACATACAAAATTAATTTCTTCGTAATGTGAGTCTCTGCAGCGTATGCTGATTAGAGATGACAGAAATGCATTATTACTAATGCATCTTTATTTCAAAATTCTGCTTCGTAAAGCTTCAGAATGGGATTCTGAATAGTTTCAGCAGCATATACGTCACAGACACATATTGTACCAGTAGGGCAGATATGCTGACAGCTACTGGCCACTCGTAGTTCCATATGATTTCTGTATAGGACCGAAGTTCTTGCTTCTCCCAAGATGAGATCTAGTGTGTTGTTAAATCCAAATTCAGTTGATGAACTTTATTTGTCTCAGATGGCATAGGAAAATTAAAATCGCTTTTCTGCTTGCAGTGACATGAAGCAAATTTGCATTAGAGGAAAGGGCTGAGTTTTTTCTTGAATTTCCTGAGCATACTCAGGTAATCACTCTTGGGTATCTCCTAGATACCTTTCCTGCATCTTCATCATCACACCTGCCTAGCTGATAGTGTCGCTTGCATAGCCTGGGAGTCCCCAGAAGAGCCGGGTTGGAGATTGCTTTGGCCGCTGAAGTCTTCGCTTTTCCCACCATTTTTATGGATTTTCTTCCATTGTAAAAGCTAATTGGTTTCACTTCGTAGAAAAATACTTTATCCTTAAAGTGAATTTTTAGCTGAATAGATTTTTTTCATAAAGTAAGATTTCATAATTAATACATTTCTGAAATCCCTCATTTTCAGTATCTCTGAAGCAAATGAAATTTGAGAGGAACACATTTTGCAGTAAATATAAGAGGCAAACTTCAGGCTTTCACTCTCAACAGCTAACAATTTTATTTGGCTTCAAAAATGAAAAAAAAAAAGATTCATAGGACTTGAGAATTTTAGGGGAGAGACACGACAGAAATAACCTACAAAATGGGACTCTACTGCCACAGTTTCTACTAACCACTGCCATGAAATAACTTTCTAGCAATAATAATTCTGTTGATGTGAACAGTTGCAAAAATTAGCAGTCAGTAACAGAGATGAGCTCATGGCTGATAGCCAACATGTAAAAAGACATGAACTATCTTAACAGTGTGTATAAATATCTTATGAGAAGCAGTGAAGAAGGAGGAGCCAGGCTCTTCTCAGTGGTGCCCAACAAAGGGATAACAGGCAATGAGCACAAATTGAAATACCGGAAGCGCCATTTAAACATTAAAAAAATATAATTCACTGTGAGGGTGATCAAACACTGACACAGGTTGCCCAGAGAGGTTGTGGAGTCTCCATCTTTGGAGATACTCAAAACCTGACTGAACATGGCCCTGAGCAACCTGCTGTGCGTGACCCTGCATGCACAGTGGGCTTGGACTAGACAGTCTCCAGAGATCCCTTCCAACCACAACCATTCTGTGATTCTGTGAAGTACAACAAATTGCCTTTCTTTGCAGCACTGTGTTTTTAAATTGATGCAAATATTTTTTTTCTTCCTGAGACAGAAACTTCCAGATAGGCTAGGAAATAGCTCGGTATAAATAATTTGCCCCTTTTTTAAGATAAACTGCTTTTTGCTTGGACAGTTGTGCCAGGAGTACGATTGCCTTTTTTGAGATAGTTGCTTTCAGTAAAGATACTTAAATACTGTAGCTGGTGATGCATTTCAACAGTTGAACACAAAAGGATTTTAACTGTTTCTGGCATTAAAGAAGTGTTGCATGCCGTATTCCAAACATAACTATGAGTTTATTTATCTTTTAAAATTAGACTGTTTCACATAGAAGCATATAATCCCTACCATCCTCCTGGGAAGACGGGATAAACACACTGAACTTCCCTGCTTGTACATATCATGGTTGAATTTGCCACATTATGCTTGAACCCTCACCCAGCTGTATCCAGTTTTGCAGCTCCTGTGGGTCACATACAAAAATTTTCAGATGGCCAAGCTTTGAGACCTCTTCTGTGTCCCTCAGATTGCCAAGAATTAGATGAATCCCAGGAGCAGTTCACATGCGGTAAATGACATTTGATTTTTATGGTTCCGTGGCTCCAGCACAGACCTTAGCTGGGTCCGGAAGTGGCTACTGGTGCACTGTCTCCTATAGTCAGGGCTGTGGATTGTCCAGCACTCCTTGCACCAGCATTAGCTTCATTGCCAGTCAGTAACACGACCTGACTTGGGAGCTGCATGGGGCCAAATCGAGAGCCATATGGTTGGTGTCTGTCCTGCATCCGTGCAGTGCAAAATTGAGGTTTTTCAGTTCTTCACATCACGGGATCAACAGAAGAGAGAAGCTCCAAATTAGCCTTGTAATTTTTTTTTTAAAGCAACATTAAGTATGCACTGTCAGAATTTGTTGTCAAACTACTTGTAAGCATGTACACGTGGAAAAAGCCCTTTTAATAAGTGTGAGACAGCACAATTGTTTTTGGCACTAAAAAAATAGACTTTCACAAGGGAATTGAGAGAAAGGCAGGGCTGATTAGCTCTGAAATAAAGCAGCTTGGAATTTAGGAAATGTAAAGCTACCTTACAAACAAGGTTTCATCTGTAAACCATAATGAACCTTGATCTTTCCATAAAAGAGAAAGTGAAATGTTTGCTGGAGCAGTTTATACCTGTAAGGTGCGATGCTTTCCCACTGCTTCAAAGAAAGAATCAGTCCAGTAATTCACACCTTCCCCAGAATCTGTACATACCCATGCTAAAAAAATTAAATAATAAAAATAACCCAACCCGATACTAATGTGCTCAATTTGCAAAAGTTCATATTTTGCAGTAGCTGGATTCTGTAGCAATGGGCTGCTAGCTTCTGCTTAAGTCCCTGGGAGTTTCTCATGTGATACCTGTTTTAAACTCCCACTGGTGTGATATAAATTAGGTTAGTTTTATGTCTTCAGTGAAGAATTGGGCTTAACATTTCTTGTGAGGAAGAAACATCAGAAGTTAGCTGTACATATATTCTGTAGCTAATGTTCTGTAGTCACAACAGGATGAGAGATATTTTTAAATGTCAAGGTACACATACTTAATACTTGGGTGCATTTTTATTTGTTCAGTTACACAGTGCTTTTTCATAATGTCTGCAGAACAAAATTCAAAGACTCAGCACAGTCCTGTCCAGTCTTTTATTCCCTCCTCTCTTCCTGCGTGTAATACCTGTATCTATTTCTGAGTTCCTACTGTCTTTCTGGTGCAGCTGGAAGGTGTCTCAGTATTAGGCATCTGCCCACTATTTATTTAAGGGCTTGGAGGAGACTTGGCAGGGTTGTCTGATTCACATGCAAATCCTTAGGTAAAGAAAAATGGTTAGTCTAAACTAGTTTAGGTCCCAATTTTACAGAAGAACAAGCACTTTAGCCCAGAGAGGGGAGTCAGTAACTAATGGATAATCTTCTATGACCATCCTAACAGCATGAAGGGTGTCTGTAACCCACCAGTCCAGCATTCACCAGTTAGAGACTGCTTACTTCACTGCCACACGTACTCCTGTGCATACGTGTGAAGTTAGCAGCGAAGGACGTTTCTAATGCTGAAGGTACGCCTGGGAGCGGGGAATGCTTTGTGTTTGTGTCCAGTCGTCTTCCCCACCATTCTTTCTTTTCACTTACTGGAAGTAATTTGTGTTGGATCCCTTTTTCTGGAATGAACTTTGCAGTGTATGTCGTCAGCCATTTTGATTACTGCAAGTGTACTCATTTTGCGGAGCCATCATGCAGCAGAGACCAAAAGTTTTTTGCAAATGATCTACTCTATTCTGGGCCTGGATTAGTCTCTACATGCTTAAAATTCCCATGTTCCTCTCTGGGAGACGTGCATAAAGACATTGTGCTAAAATCAATGCTACTCACACTCGATATAAACATTTAAGAAATCTGCAGTATGAATTGTTAACGTTAATGTTTGTTTGCTGATTTTTATCACAAGTGGGAGAAATCTGTGGTCAATGTGTTAGACAAAAGAATCGGGGGACCAAGGTTTCCAGCTACTCATACTGCCTTTTTAACTGTCTTAACTGT